TTCCCCTCCTCCGCTGCTACTGTTCGCCCAGCCGCTTCCCCTCCTCCTCGCCCTCCTCCTCGCCAGCCATAAACTTCCAGGGCGGGCTCCAGGCAGCCACTGCCAGCGCCACAGCAGAGCCATCCACTCTATATTTTGAGTGGAAATGTTGGGAGGTCGTCTTATACGCCCAGTCATCTTGTATGCCGGCAAATACAGTATTGATTATAATAGATTAGCACACAGTATTTGGCTCCACGGCCATCTGGATGATAATGCCAAAAGCCATGGAATTTAATCTTTAAAAGTTTCCTAACCACCACCTCTGGATCCTGTTTGACCTGGGGAAGTCTTTCGGGTTTTCAGGATTTCAGGGGAGAATTTAATGCCTACAAATCTATATTACAGGGGGAATAGGAAACTATTAATAAAAGTTCGTGGATGTTGTAATCTTCAGCTTTACATGAGTCAAGTTACACAAACAGGGTTCCGGCCAATTATTCTTTTTAAATACTTTTTAAAAGAGCAGTTTTCTTAGTTGTTATTCATGTTTCTTTCCTTTTCTCTGTCTTAACTTTCTTAAACTAGCTATATTTATATTATTGCTTTTAGTCAACAAACTAAGACTTATCTGCTTGCAGTCTTAATTGGCATCTGCCAGGACTGTACTATTGCTGAAAAAAGGTGCTTGTACAGCAGTAATCTAAACAAATCTCAGCAGTACTGGCTGTTAATCAGAATCTCTTTATCTTTCCTGAAAAGCACATTACTTGCTGACTGGTATCTTGCATAGCATATACACTATAAAACTTTATTTTCAGAGATTTAGCATAAATAAGCAGTTTATCTTTATATGCTTCCTTATCCAAAGTTAAGGAAATATAAACTTATTCTATATAGTTGCCACTCAAGCAGATTTACCAGTGCTACAAACTGAAGTATAAACAAAATAAAAGACAAGCGAAATAGAAGAAAATATTGCTGCCATCTAGAATTGGAATATCATCAGTTCCAAAAAAGGCCAGCTTTGACAGCGAAGTTTCCATTTGTATGATGGCTCTCTTTGCAAGCAAGAACCTAGATTTTTTCTTCATACTTAGTCATCATCCCATGAGGAAAGCACTGATGATCTAGGGTCCAGGTGCTCCTTTCTATCCATCTTGAACAGAATTCACTGAGAGCTAAACATGTAAACAGTGGGTTGTATTTATGAGAAAATAATAAGCAGAATCTGTTGATTGATTGGTATGTTCAGGATATCTGTTTAATGGACAATTTTTAAAAAAAATTCTAGAAGGCTGTAATACAGAATTCAGTATAGTTGTATTGACTGAAACCCTTTTATACATCCACAGATCTATTACATCATATTTGGATGAAAGAGCCTTGGAAGGACTTAAGCAGATCCATGTGGAGGTTGGTGTAAATTCTTTTGAACTGACTAATATGTTTTGATTGAAATCCTTTTGTTTAGCACAGTAAGCTGCAACTGGAATAGGCCTATTGCATCAGCAGAACATGGAGTTGAGTTATCAAATTCCCTCTCATTCAGTGGGCCTTCTCTAGTTGCGACTTACTGTGTTAAGCAACAGGATGGCAGCTTCTATTTTTTTAATGTTCTATTTAAATAGGAAACCCTTGCATATTAAAAGCCAATCTTTATTTAGATATGGCCATGGTACGTGTCTGGTATTGGAGGCCACTTAGCTTTCCTGACCTAGTAGTAGCCCATGATTCTGAAATTCCCACTAACCTTTAATACTGCATGAAGAATGAAAAGTAAAGTCTGCACAACAGCTTGTATTAGGAGAGGAAGAGAATTGTTTTGAATGCAGGATTTGTAACAAGTATATTTACTCTTATTTGTACAATATTGTATTGTGAGGAGGTAAGATCTCCTGTGGGAGCTTCCTAGAGAATACCAGTATTAATTATTATAATTATGATGGAAACAGATATCGGCTGAAATTTTTCTTTCTTATGCAAATTGAAGGCAAAAGGTATAATTTATATCTTTTGCATCTCATCAGTAATAAATGAGCTCCCGCACCAAGACAGCATGCATGTGTACCACCCAGAATCACTGTGGTGTTTATTAATTGCCAGCTAGAAGCAAGTGAATATTACGCCTTTTGATTTCTACTTGCATAATAAAGCCACAGGATTTTAGCCATCATTTTGATTGCTGCACTACAGTAAAAGTGTGCTGCCAGCTTGTTGGGAAAGAGAAGCCCTTGGAAATGGAAATAAAGAAACACCAAACTTTATTGTTCAGCGCATCCAGGAATGTATTCAGACCTATCTGTAAGTCATGTGTGGTTTGAAAAGTGCTGGATTCATTGAAAATACAGTTTGCAAATATCGCCTTTCTTTTGCAGCTTTGCCATCGCCAGTTGTATAGGTAAGACCATTAATGCTAAGTAGATGGTTTCTGTTGTGGGAATTGGTTCTTGGGAGGAGGGAAATAAAATTAATTATAAAAGCCTAACACCGAGGAAAGTCCGGAAGGAAAGAATGAGAAACTGGGTCTTCTTGGCAGTGGTCCCTCTGCCTATGGAGATTCACCTGGCTCCCTCTCTGGGTGTCTTCAGGAATAAATTTAAAACTTGGCTATTCAGGCAGGCTTTCCCTCCTGCCATATCGTAATTTCTTATACTTTCGCCACCTTGGATTTAGAACATATGCTTATTGGTTTCATTGGTTTTAAATTTGTAACCACCCAGAGTAGACCTTTGGTCTAGATGGACAGGATATAAATCAAATCAAATCAATCCATCCATCCATCCATCCGTCCATCCATCCATGCATGCATGCATGCATACATGCATAAAAAAACCCACAATGAGAAACGGAGCCCTTCTCTTGGTCTCCCTCTGGAAGCATGAAATCTTGTAGAGGTCAGCGAATATTTCACTTGGCTTTTTCAATATGTGAAAAGTGCCTTTTTCATCAAGAATGAGTAATTTCCTGACAGTTCCTTACATTTCTCATTTTAAAATATGAGTTTGGCACTAGCTGTGACAAATCACAGGCTCATACACATTGTACACACATAAAGAACACTTACTAGAAAGTGTGGCAGTCTCTCGGAGGGATCTCTATTGGCTTTCTATTACACAACTGCTTGATGTGTAGCTGTAGGATGCCACAAGGAAACCATGATCAGCTTAAGGTACTTTGTCACCTACAGAAACATCCATATTTGTCATCAGCCTCCATCACTGCTCATCGTCTTTTACATTAGATAATAGTGAATGAAAAAGCATGTGATATCCTAACATATATCATTCATCTTGCCTTCTTTCTGTAGCTTTCAGTCTCCAGGGTCGTTTATAAATGGCTGTTCAGTAGCCATCATTCATTAATTTTAAGTATTCTTATTTTTTTTTGCTTTTCAAATGCAATCTTTATTTCATTTCCCAACGTTTAAAACTTAAGACATCTATTTACAAGTTGAATATGTGCTTATCAAGTTAGAAAAAAAGATCCAGTGTGAAATGCTCTGTCCATCCATCTAAAAATACTGTGTTTCCCCGAAAATAAGACAGGGTCTTATATTAATTTTTGCTCCAAAAACGCATTAGGGCTTATTTTCCGAGGATGTTTATTTTACAGTCGTGTCATCTTCTGATTGCTGCATAATGCTGCACAATGGTGGAGGGTGGGATTTCACTTAACTAGGGCTTATTTTTGGGATGGGGCTTATGTTACAAACATCCTGAAAAACCATACTACGGCTTATTTTCAGGTTAGGGCTTATTTTCTGGGAAATAGGGTAGATGGAAGAGATCTGTGCTAAAAAAGTATTCAAAAACTTACTGTTTGTAACCTCATAAAGCAATTCTAGGTCAGTATATAAACATAAAATAAATACATCAGCAGTGAAGCACATGAAGACATCAGTTTGCAGAACTAAGTGGTATCGAACAGACTGTTAAATTGGAGACAAAATAAAATGTTTTATTTTGATGTCTAAAAAAGTACAATATTGGTGGGAAAATAATGTCCCTCATTCTAGACTTGGGTGTCACAAAAAAAAAGGCCCTTTCCTTTGTGTTTTCGTAATTTATTTTGCCCACTGAGGGTAATTAGAGAAGAGCCTTAATCAATGCAATGAGAGCAAAAAAGGCTGTTTTAATATGAGGGAGAACGAAGATCTTAGCTTCATACAGCAGATTGATTAATCTGCCTGAGTTCATAGTATTTTTGCTAAAGAGTTTGAAATTTCTGATAAAATAATACTTTTGCTACACAGAAGAAATAGAGATTCACAAAGTTCCCCATAGTCCATCCTTTTCTCATTAACTGGCACTTAAAGTCTCAATCTCATTCTGGGACATTTGTAGGAGAAATAATAAAAATGTTTATTTACTTACAATGGCTTGAAGCAAATTTATACAAATTTATGTATGCTGCTTTCTTTACTGCACACATACTAGCAACCAACTGACCAGATCATCAGCAACAAACAACTGCCTCCAACCAACAAAAGAGAGGGGTGGGACACTCGGCAGAGAGGCAGGTCTCTTTGAATTTCAAAGCAGGAAGGAATCATTGGTTAGATAATCTTCCCAGCTCAGAAAAGTCCCTCCCAGTCCCTCAAACTACAAACAGTGGTTATAAATAAAACTTCAACAATTTTGAGGTTTATAGTGGCAATTTACATTGTTTGTTGCAGTATAGTATCCTTTTTTGTTTCAGAATGGGAGCTTGCTTTACTAGTGTTGTAAAATGCTTAGTAAAGTGTTCTTGTTATCTGTAGACTACAAATGTGCATCATGCTTCTCTCCTCAAATTAATGCTTTAAATAACACAGTAGTTAGAGGGTATTGAAATACTTTTGGATGGTGTATAAAGTCCTTTTGATCATTTTATAGTAGCCTACCGCTTTTAGGGTTTTTAGTAGGCAAGTACTGTGTTAAACAAGCTGAACTAGTTTTTCTGAAGAGTGGTGAAGGCATGGTGCCCTGAAGGTTCCTGACTGAGAAATGGTTTCTTGGAATTTTGAAAAAACAGAAGCGCCCATTTGCCAAATGACACCAGAAAATGAATTATTCCCCCCCCCCATGATTCTGTTTACCATGACACTCGGAAGAAGCAGCTCATTCTCAGAATATTAAGTGACTGTCTTAGCTGGAGTTTGGTTTATTTAGTTGTATAAGTAAGTGACTTCACCAAAAGCAGTGAAAATGAAAATGAGCTATGCCTGCTGTAAAGAGACCAGTAGAAGTTATTCTCTCTGTGACTGAAAACATCAAGGTAATTCAGTGAAATAGATTTGCAGGGCACTACAAGGTACAGAACATTAGGCAAAATCCAAGGGAACAAAACAAAACAAAAACATGTGGCACCTTAAAGTCTAACTGTTATATTTTAATGTGAGCTGTAAGACTCGCAGGATTGACTGATTGATTGGGGGTGGAAGTGTTGGGGTATAAAAGAGAGCTTGCTGTGTTACCTTTCTTTCTCTGTCCGTGTGCTTCTGAAAGTGCTCACTCCCATCTCTGTTACCCTTTTGTTCTCTTGATTTTGTTTCATCAGTCACAGGCCTTTTAGCAAATCCATCATTGCCCCACCAGATGACTATAGCATAAGACCTATGACTGAGGGAGTCTGGGCTTAATCATTCCTGAGCCATGATGCCATTGAGCATTCCAGATTACAATATTTCAGCTCCACCCATCTCCCATTGTTTTTGCAAGGATAAAATGTGGGAAGAACAATGTATGCTCCCTTTAGCTCTTTGGAGCAAGGCAACATATCAGTGCAGTACACAGATTAAAAATGATCCAAGGGAACAAATCAATGAACAAATCATGTTGTTCAGCTCTGGTTGCCCTAAGAAAAATATCTGCTCGAGACTCCAGGCATCTTGAAGGAAAAATCAGGGGCCTCATCTTCTAATGAAACCCCTGATTTTTCCAAGCTCTGGCTCCTTTCATGTTTGTGAACAAGGAGGTTTTGTTAGCTGTGGCTTCTCCTCCCCTCTAGTATGGTGTGTCTTGTTAACCCAGTTAAGCAGGAATTGAAAGCTACTGGAACCTATGTGATGGTGTCTTACTTTTCTAGTCACACCCAGGTGACAGCAAAATAAATACTCCTACACAGGCTTCCAAAAGCCGTGTCTGTCATCTGCATTTTTACTGCAAATTGCTCTTTCTCAGTTTAATTATTAAGCTATGTGGGATAGAGCTATAGTGTAGCACAGAAGTTGGCAATCCTCGGTCCATGGCCCGGTACTGGTCTGTGGCCTGAGCCAGACCGGGCCGCAGAGAAAGACCATTCTGCCCGCCCCTGCATGCACTCCCCTCCCCACAGCTGCTTTGCGCAAGCATGCCAGCGCTGGTGTGCGTGGTCCCCCACCCCTTCACACATGCGCCCGAGTGAAAGGGTGGGCGGGCACGTGGACGGGCACGCAGGCGCTCCTGCACTTGCACGAAGGAGTGAGGGAGCACTCATGGCAGCGCTGGCACACGCGCACATTCTGCCCGGCCCTGCATGCACTCCCCTTCCCACAGCTGCTTTGCGCAAGCATGCCAGCGCTGGTGTGCGTGGTCCCCCACCCCTTCACACATGCGCCCGAGTGAAAGGGTGGGCGGGCACGTGGACGGGCACGCAGGCGCTCCTGCACTTGCACGAAGGAGTGAGGGAGCACTCATGGCAGCGCTGGCACACGCGCACTGCACCACCACTTCACACATGCACCTGAGTGCACACACATGCGCCAAAGAGTGCCCACGTGAGCACAGGGGGTGTCCGGCCTTCCTCAGAGGCTCAGCCGGCCCGCGGTCCCAAAAAGATTGGGGACTGCTGGTGTAGCATGCATGGCTTTTCTTTAGTCAGTCTGAAAAGAAAATGATTCAGGACCCAACTTCATGTTACAGTTTAAATAGTGTGGCATTTTAAAATGGCTACTACATCTTTTCTTCAACCTTATCACCAATAACATGTATTTATACTTACTTGAGATGCAATGTTGTCATGTGATGAATCTCCCTTCTTTAAATTATTTGTCATTATTGAAAGGGAAATACATAAAAGTCTAGATGCATAGCTCAAGTTAAGTCGTAACTAAGGGAAACTGCATGGTACAGAGAAAGACGCAACAGAACAAATCATCTGGGATACTGTATGTTCTCTGTTTACCAGAATAGTTCTTTTTGGTGCCTGTGTGGTATAGTGGCTAGAATGTTGGACTAGGGCTCAGGAATCTGAATTCAAATCCCTGCTGAGCAATGGAAGCTCATTAAAGGTTGGGAATAGCAAAAACACTTCTTAAGTGCTGTATTTTTGCACCATAAGATGCACTTTTTTCCCACAAAACAGGGGGTGGAAAGTCTGTGCGTCTTATGGAGCGAAGAAAACAGATTATTTCTTCAACGTGGTTCTCTATGAATCCAC